CTATATATATCTATTATATATCTATCTATATATATTATATATCTATCTATATATCTATATCTATATGATATATATATATCTATATCTATATGATATATATATATCTATATCTATATATATATCTATATATATATATCTATATCTATATCTATATATATATCTATATATATCTATATATCTATATATATATCTATATCTCTATATATATCTATATATATCTATCTATAGTAGATTATAGATATGTAATCTGTTCATGAATAAGTAATAGGATTTTACAGAATAGCCCATGCTGAGCCAGATAATACATATCGTTCTTTATTCGTATTAAATTAAAATTAAATAATTGAATTAAGATTTTTTTGTTCAACAAATTCTTAATTAATAAAGCCATCACATATTGTAGCTTCTCCTCAACGAGTTTGGTTGATTAGTTAATTATATCCATCATCATTATTTTCTCAACCCTCCTTTGACTCTTACGTACAAGTGTTGACTTGAAACGTGTTTGTTGTTGTACTTTGCTGCAGGACAGGAAGCACTCAGTGTTCTTGCTCTGAACCGTTTGTTAATGTGCAGTTTCATGTTAGTTTTGTATTTCAAAGGTATATGTTCCTCCTAAGAATGCTTCCATCACACACACACACACACACACACACACACACACACGTTGACGGATCCTGTTGGCAGTTAGCTGTTCTCATTAGCTCCCGTTCCCCTTATGGCTGAACTTTTCTCAGTGTTGCTCACAGATTACAGTCAACTCAATATACATGTGTATATAATGTGTAAAACAGCCGTGTAACCAGAGAACAAACGCACATGCAGTCACAGTTATAACCAGAGAAACGGGGCGTTGTGCTGTTTCCTCTTTTCTACAATGATCCACGTATCACTTGTGTCACAGGGAAGGCTTTATTTTAGTTTGCATCATTGCAGCGCTGTGCTCTTCTATCTGCAGCAGGGACTCTGCATTGTTAGAATTGATGTCACAAGGTGTGTGGCACGCCACAGATCAGGTCATTTGTCAACGACGAGTGCCAGTACTCGCCATTACGAGTGCTTTAGTTGTATATCGTGTAGATATGTATTCAGTACCACTGTGGTTTTTCTTCCTACAGACTCTGGCCGGGAGCTGGTCATCACAGACCCAGTGGTCAGAAGTCGAGAACTCTTCATCTCTGACTATGTGGACACTTATCATGCTGCTGCTCTCAGGTAAACAAACATGAACACACACACACACACTAACACTGGGAGCTTTATAATCGTATCAAACATGTCCGCCCCTAAATATCCAGGAACATTGCAATGCTTGCGTCTATAGCACAGTACCTCCGTTATTTGTGGTGCTTTGTGGAGTTAACGGTAATCTCTGGCCATGAAAATTCCTTATTTACCTGAAGTTTTATTTCTGTTACATGGAAAACATATGGAAACTTGCTGTCAGGTTGTAGACCAGTTGAAGTAATCCATATTCTATTTCATGTAAATGATATTTTACGGTCACCGGTTTAGTGCTTTCGTACAATGAATCCTGTAATCAAAGTTCTTATATACTCAAACAGATTAATGACGAGCACCATCTGTGTTTTAGTAGATGCAACACTGTTGTAAAATACTCGCCTGCTGTGATCCACATTCAGGAGACAGAACTCTTTACTACAATGTATCCGAGCAGTGGCGACAAAAGAGTAATAGTCCTACATAACTGTTGTGTTTATATCTGCTGTCCATGATGGAACATTAGATTGATTTCAAATGACATAGCATGCTTTACTGCTGTGAGCAGGTGCTGTATAAATAGTCCAGGTGTGTTAAGATGCAAAGCCATAAATGAGACACGTGCGTCAACCTGTTTACATAAAAAAAAGAAATAGCTCTTCATCAACTGCCACATACACACACCTGTCAGAACATGAGGCTCGAGAGTAAACCTGATGGCAGTCACTCTCTCCGTGCTTGATGTGAGGAGGAAGGAATACAGGCGTAATCCTTTTCTTGGTCTGAAATGAGTTACTCTGTCATGCTGTGTTCCTGCCTCTGCCTCTGCATTCATTCCTGTCTGACCACCTCTCACACTTCCCCTTTTCTGTAAGCAAAACCATCTGTGAGCTGCACAGTGGTGGGCAGTCAGAGCCGTGTCTCCCAGAAACCACAGATTTCAGGGCAAATTAGCTGCAACTTCTCCTGCACACAGCGGCGCTTTGATTCGACTTGTTTTCCAGGCTTTAGATAAACGGGAGGGAATTCCAGTGGGATGCTGTAATGCCGCAGCTCTCCGAAGACGTCCCTGCTTAGCTTCCTTTTAATCTGTTCAGAGGGGGGAAGATACCGTTTCTCTACGAGGCAGCCCAGCTCCATATGCCAGGGGTATCTGTTATTTAGAGAGAGCCCGACACCAGGGTGCTGGAAACAGGAAATGGTATCAAGATGTGGTCAGAGATTCGGCCCTCTTGGCTCGTTGTTGGATTCCTGTCCAGATCTCTGCAGCGTCTGTCTCCCTCACGGGCAGGACTGACATGTTCAGCTGGTGTTTATGGGTTCAGTAGCCATAGCTTGATGCCTCACCGCAAAGTCAGCAGGCACTGACAGGCTGCTCTATACCTGCTGCTGTATTTGTCACCTCCGATAGACAAACACCCCCGGAGCTTCTAATTAGGCCCACGTCTGCTCCTTCTCGCCCATCATTTTGTCATATAGTTTATTTTTGTCTAATAAAGCCTGTCTTCTCTCTCACAGGGGGAAATGCAACATTTCCCATTTCTCCGACATTTTTGCTGCCAGGGAGTTCAAAGCCCGCATCGACTCCTTTTTCTATATCCTCGGATATAACCCCGAGACCAGGTGAGGAGCTTTCTGTCACGTCACCTCCACCGATACGTTCTCCTTCTCAATCCTCCCACAGGTCACAAATGCTGGGTCAAATCTCTGCAACTCTTATACAATTTTAGTTCAAATTGGGGTTTTTTTGTCTAAAAATTGTCAGAAAATGGCCATTACAATTTCTAAAGCCCAAGATGATGCCTTCAAATGTCCTTGTTTTTTTTCCAATCAGCAACCCAAAACCTGCAGATATTCAGTTACCATCACATAAGTCAAAGAAGAGCAGCTTCAGGTTTAAGTAGGTAATACTTAGCTTTATTGAATTATTTGAATAATGACTCAAATTATGAATTTATTATCAAAATTGAAAAATCAAAGACAATATTCATTATCTGTCCGTGTCTTACTTGCTGATAGTTTCAGATTTATATTTAAATCTATGATAGGTTCAATTTAATTGGGAATAAGATAATAGCAATTATTGTGACGCATCAATAGGCAAATTCAAAACTATTGAGTCAATATATTTGGGTATTTTATTTATTTTTATCACTCGGCAGTAGCATCAATAATATTAAAATGTTTCAGTAGACATAAGCTTTCTGCTTCTTTGTCTTTGGACGGTGTTGCATCTAATGACGCTCTCTGCTCATCACTGCCGTCAGTGTCATCAGTGCACACACAATGGTCCTAATGTGGTGAGATTATGGAGAACGAGCCGGTGGAAACCCCCGTGGCTTTAATTGTTGGGGCGTTTGTTGACATTTGTCCAATTACACGTCAAGTTTTCACTTTTTGTTTTAACGCTATTAAGATTAGAATGATTTTTTGTTTGATTATGATGAAAGGCCTTTTCACAGAAGACATCGTGATGTGTTACAGTATGAAAATCACAGGTGTGGATTAAAACAAATGACAGAATTTAGTTTAGCTGCCTCAGTTTCAGGATCCCTGTATTGTGCATGATGGCTCAATGGCACGACTTAGTGGGAACAGACTCATTGTCAACAGAGTCATTGTTAATAATATAACAATAATAAGTTATTAGTGACACCTGTACCTTTTCTGCTGTGACACACCTGACCTCTCACACTAATAATCATACACTACATTTGTTTCATCATGTCGAGTGGAATTGTTGATGGTCATTTTTGTACATTATTATTAATGATAACAATTATGATAATAGGTTTTGGGTAATCAATGCAATTTCATTTTACATTTTAGTTTGATACTGTATGCTCTCTTATGTATTTTAATTACATTATCTATTGCACTGATAACGTCTTCCTGTGATTATAAAAATGTACTTTTGATTTACACAATTTGAATACGTTGTTACCACAGCTGCTCAGCTGGCAGCAATGTGAAATGATTGTGTGTCATGAACTCTGAAGACCGACTGATGTACGCGTTGTGTACGCACCAGCAGATATTTAGTTTAAATACAAAAGTACACTAGATAAAATGTTAGTGCATTGTAGTTTGTTGTTCTGGAAGAGAATGGTAAATAGCAATCTTTTTTTCCAACCTAATTTGAATAGTTAAACATTTTAAATCATCATGTATGTGTCATTCACCGTTGTATTATTTGTTTTATATTGTTGACATAAATATTCCCAAAAGGAAAAATATATCTAAAGTACTTGTGGTACATGCTGGTTGGTTTATTGAACACGACGAGCCGCTGAATTAATTTATGTGCGCGAGCAAAGTTGGTGTTTGTGACAAAAGAATCCACTGGTGGTGTTTGGATTGTCTCACGTGTTGCAGTGACGGCTGTCCTTGTTATTGGCACCGAGGGTTGCCAGTTGGGAACCCCCTCCTTCGGGGCCCCGTTCAGTCTTCCGCTCCCTCCTCCCTCCTCCGCTCCGCTCGTTTGGTATTCTGAGCGGGCTGTCTGCAGCCTTGCAATTTCACTCTTGTTTATTATGGCGCAGATATACGAGGAGAGATGAATTCCGTATCCTGCATGCGTGCCTGTCTGCCTCCGCGCGTCTGTGTGAGGTCGCAGCACATGCTCAGTAGTGTCTGTAGAGGAGCGAGCCGAGCTTGCGACGCTGTACGCGTAGGCTGAGGTCACAGCACAAGCTCAGTGAATACCTCTCCGGAGCGAATGCGTGCTTCTCCATTTTGAGCACCTAGAAGTAGGTGGGAGAGGGGGAGTGAATTCCAACGAGCATCCTACACACACAGTGTCACCACCCAACCTTTAGTGTTCGATGTCAGAAATGGACGATTTGTTCAGTCCCCGGAGGTAGGTCTGCGATCATATTCTCGTGCTTGCTCGTGCCGTTCTCAGTCGCCCGCGCGAGTGTTGTCTCGTTTTCACGAGTCCGCATGCCTGCCCGTGTGATGTTTGCGGGCTGTCCACATCGCTGTCGTTGTGCTAGCCGGCTGTGTTTGTGTCGGGGGGGAAGGGGGAGCGCGACAGCGAGCGTGCACCAGTAGAAGGAGAATCGGTACCGGCTGTCATTAGAGAGCTCATACACCGTTACGCGTTCGCGCTGCAACAATGGAAACGCCGTTGTATCGCACCGTTACAACACGTTACACCGTGTTGCCTTCAAAGTCCAGATAAACGCATTGTTTGCGATGCAGCCGCTGGTACCAGGCGAATGCACGTTCACGAAGTATGCTTATATGACGGTTAGACGACACCGTGTAGGCTAACGTTACCCTGGCTCCATTTTGCAGCTCCTGTTTACAAGCCGGGACGACATGGCGCACGGAGCAGTGCTGCTGTTGCACACAAAGCTCGAGCAACTTTGCGACCAGCTGCGATGTGTACACGCTGCGCGTCATGCTAGTTAAATACCATCAAGTTGGGTCTGTTTTTGCTGTGCGGCAATTATGTCAGTGTGCCACAGACTCGCTCCGTGATTGGCTGGAATTGATGTAGGGGGCGGGGCTATCCTTGATTGCACACACACAGTTGACCAGACTCACGTTGTTGTTGTTGTTGTTGTTGTTTGGGTTTAATAAGTAGGCCTGTAATTATTTGGCAGCACTGTGCTAAGGCTGAGATAGATCTGAAGTTGTTTGAAACAACCGGGCATGTTTCACATTGTTTGTTGTGCTCAGCAACAGGCTTTGTGATTATTAGAGAGAGAATACATTATTACAAGAAGTCAGAATTAATACTAATAACTGTAATGTAGTGCTTGATGTTTGCCTTTCGCATCTACATTATGAATCAGAAAACACTAGCTTCTGAGTTAATTTTTTTCCAGATTTGTCTGCAAGATATTAAAACATATGCTGAACATATATTACTTACACAGCCATATTGTTGAATACACCACATGTGTGTTGGTACTTTCTGCTGGCTGTTTCTGTTCAGGTCTACCTGCAGTCATAATGGAAACTCCTTCGAGCTTCCTGCTGCGATACATCTGTATTCGGCCTCCTCTTTCAGGACCCGTGCTGCATTCCATCTGAATGTCGACCGTCTGCTCTCAGGATTTGCCTGAGTCAAAAACATGACGGTCCTCAAGACGCCATTCTCACTCTGGTGCACGGGTCCTCGTTTGTCTTCCTTACAGCCTCCTGCCAAACAGACCTGGCCGACTGCACGCTGTCAGGGACACATTCGTACAAGTTCTTCTCAGCAGGAACACAAACCAGATTCTCATTCGCAGACTACATGCGGATATGAATTTTTGTTATAAGCATTCAGCAAGTATAGACATTCTTTGTTTTTAAAAAGCAGGGTTTGTATTTGTGTTTCATAATTCGTTCGTCTCTAATAAATCCAAAGAAATAGTTATTAGTTCTGCGATGCCACTGGTAATAGCAATTTCTAAACTTCCAGTGGAATAATGGCACAAAAACACTGCTTGAAGTCTGGAGACTTGTGAAATTGTTATCAAACCTTAAGGAATCTAATCTGAAGTGCTGATGGCGCAGGAAACTACCATATTTTACCTTTATCAGCGCTATTCATCGCTGTGAGTTTTCAGTCTGCCAAATACTGGTTGCTTTACATCAAGTTTGTCTTTATCTGCTGAGAATGTTTGTAACAAAATGATGGAGCAGCAGACGATCCCGGCTCGCCCGGGCTCGTTTGCTGCAGCTAAAATTCAGTTTGTTTTCTTTGGCCTGTGCCGATACATACCGTCTGTGCCGGTGCTTCTGTCAGCTATAGTTCACAACAGGGAGGGTTCCTCCTCTGATGTCTGAGAGGAGGCGGAGCTCTGTTTACGGAGGGGGGGAGGGGGGGCGAGCTGGGTCAGACACAGTGTTTTGTGGTTGGACGGCAGTAAAGAGCCCAGAGGGCCGAGGCCTCTCGGGTTCCCTCCGGGTCTCCATGATGGAGTGCGAGCTTCTCCGGGTGCAAATCACGCTGACAGGTTCTGGGCCGCCCCGGCGCTCGCCTGTATGAAAATTGGCACTGTTACCTAGGCAACAGAGGGAAAGGCTTTTCAAAGGGAACATCTTGTCATTTCCTTTAATCCGTTGCAGCTGGAGATTCGGAAACACTATTATTAAATTGCAGTTGCCATGGCTACCGACATTTGTACCGGCAGCCGTTGCAGAGGCGACCCTCCCCAACACCCCCACCTCCTCCTTTTAGGGGATTCTGTTTTATTGCTGCATCCACAATATCAGACCTGTAAATGTGCTCCGCTCAGCTTGCTGTGCAGTGAGCAGCCAACCCAATAATATTCTCCTGGAATCTTTATTTGCGTGTCAGAATAAGACATCATGTCCGTTTTTCTCTCACACCTGTGAAGACGTCCACGATAGAGAACGCATCCCTTGTGTCCCCCTCGCATCTGTGTTGTGATCTCGCCCGGGTCACGTATTGTTACTTTCTGACATTGTTCTTTTGAAGCTCCAGTCGGTCATGACACCCGGTTGTGACTTTGTAGTTGGTGTGCAGTTGTTTAGCCCATTCAACGGGCACAATGCCGACAGATTTCCTTCAGCCGGCTTTGAAATGTTGCCAAGGAAATGTTTTGTTTCAATCTGCTCTTTGTCCTTTTCTCAGGCGACTAAACAGCACACAAGGGGAAATCCGAGTGGGACCCAGTCACCAAGTGAGTCATTGCACAGCACACATCACCCATAATTGTGTGAAATGCAGCACATCTAAAACGGTCTACCTAATATAAAACAGCAATTGTGAATATGTATAGAATATATGACACTTTCTTTCGTAAAGCCTGGTGGAATCAAGATCCTTTTAAACTGGACAAGTGTCATTTACATAAAAGTTTGCATGATAATTTACTGTAGCGTTTGCACAGCCAGCCCGAGCTGTCGTGAAACTGTGCTGTAGCTTTGTGTAATAACTGTGACTACTTTGAAAAAACGAACTAAAGTAAGTTATTTATGTTACCGGGGAGGATCTGCTTTATCTTTATAAAAAAAGCAAGTCCTCTGAGTCCTACAGTTCTGTGTTGTGTTAAGATATTCAATCATTGTGGCTATAACTTGTCCCCGCTGTCCCCACCCCGCCACTCGGTGAACAGTCGATGACAGCGGGTTGAAAGCTGATATTTTGTTCAAGCTTGCTTGCTATTTGTAGTGTGACACCATCTGTCCCTCTCCTTCTCCCTGGACCTAATTAGGCCAAGCTCCCCGAGCTGCAGCCTTTCCCTTCTCCTGGTGGCCAGGCCGTGACCGAGAACGAGGAGCTGGTCTGGATGCCGGGGGTCAATGACTGTGATCTTCTCATGTACCTCAGAGCCGCAAGGTGAGCCCAGAGAGAGAGACCGGGGTTCAGATGTGGCCGGGCTGCAAGGTCTCACCTACAAGTTCAAGGGAAAACTATCACCACTGAGGTTAAAGATAGTTATTTCAAAAAGATGTAACCCCACACTGTCGCTTTGCCCTCGCCGTATTGATCAAAGCGTGCTTCAAATTCAGTGCTCTCAAATATCAGGGTATCAAAGACTCATCATCAGCAATAAACACGTCTACAGCATCGCAGTGGCATAACTACATAGTTTAACGTTGATACCACAGCTTTACTGACCATCGTTATCTGCCAATATTCAGTCAAATGTGCGATCAGGACATCGTTTATGCTTTTCTAGTCGCCGACCCGTGTTTAGATCGACAGGAAGAGAGCTAGTAGCACAATGCGTTCAGGCTCTGTTCAGCGAAAATGAGTATTGGGAGAAGGTCAATTATAGCTTATCATTATGTGTTCACGTGTAAACTCGTAAAATGTAGTGTTGAGGGAAACTAAATCCAGTTTGAAGGAGATGTTTTCAAAACAACATAAAACGATATTAGAGATGAATTATGAGCTGTTTAACTTCCAAACACGAGCTCTAAGCAGAATATAATACATCATTATACTACTAACAAGATTTGTTTATCAATAAAAATACAATCTTTTATTTCCTTATCATTTGAATTGTGTTTTTATGGAGAGAAAAAAGCATAGAAATTTACTATAACAAAGTAAAAGTACAACATTTAGAATTTTTGATGGTTTAACTGACTTCAGAGCGGTTAAAATCTGTAGTCTGGAGCCGTGTAGACCAGCTGTATCTGCCAATATGGATCATCAACGATCGGCAGTTAGTATCGGCGGCAAAATAAACGTGATCCGGGATCTATAAAAGATATATTTGCTCCCTTTTTTTCTTTTGTGCTGATCCGATCTGTGATCTGATCCGTGACTCTGATCTGTGTTACGATCCGAACCGTGAGTTTTATGATCCGTCGCACCACTAACGTGTGTATATATATATATATATATATATATATACACACATATATATATATATATACACACATATATATATATATACACA